CATATAGACTAAAGGGTTCAATGTGCAGTGGGGGATATACTAAGGCTATCTGATCACATATAGACTAAAGGGTTCAATGTGCAGTGGGGGATATACCAAGGAGAACTGAGCACATATAGACTAAATGGTTCAATGTGCAGTGGGGGATATACCAAGGAGAACTGAGCACATATAGACTAAAGGGTTCAATGTGCAGTGGGGGATATACCAAGGAGAACTGAGCACATATAGAATGTGCTAAACTGAGCACATGACTAAATGTTCAATGTGCAGTGGGGGATATACCAAGGAGAACTGAGCACTGACTAAATGCACATATAGACTAAATGGTGGGGGATATACCAAGGAGAACTCACATATAGTAAAGGGTTCAATGTGCAGTGAGGAGAACTGAGCATCTGTTTGTTAATACCAAGGAGAACTGAGCTTGAAAGGGTTCAGCGGCATATACAGTTATAGACTATCTCTTCATTGAAAGATCAGTTCTATCTCTTCATTGAAGATCGACTCAAAGGTTCTCAGCATCCATTATCCTTTCTCTTTACGGTTCACTCATGCAGTTTTCCCTTGTGCATGCTTTGATGTTTACATCCATAAATAGCTATATCTTCCTCTTGCTTGCTTTCCCTCCACTTTTACTTCTGTTACATCCTTTTACCAGGCAGCTGTGACTGCCTTCTTCCTGCTTTGTTCCTCCATTTACCCCAGTCTTCATCTTCTACTCAGCGTTTCCCTGCTGTAAACTCCAGAGGAAGGTTGTGGTTTATTTCACGTCTGGTGGCCTCGTCTTGTTTGAGAAAGTTTTGCGTGCACATTCGTTTTACAGATCTGGCTAGCTTGTATGTAGACAGTTGGTTCCTCACCTCTCAGGCGGATGTACTTCAGTTTTGAATAAATCAGCATTTATAACAAACTTGTTAGTGGGGGCAGTCGATCGTTATCCCCCCTCCCCAGTGGGACCACAGAACCCACAGAGAATTCACCAAGTGTTGAAGTGAGAGAAGGATCTTCCATGTGTTTACTAAAATGCACTTTTTTTTTCTAAAGATATCCTTTATGCCAACTTTCTATATTTCATTATGCTCTTCCCTTTCCTCTGTGCTCATTTCTTTAACTTGGCGAGGTAGCTGGGAATCTAGACATTCTTGCCATTTGGCCAGACCATTAGATTTGTGTGATTTTTTTTTCTTCACATTTATTAACTTTGTATGTGTATATATGGTAGTGCATAAAGCTTGCTATGTGTACATTAATGTCTGGCAGAGGGTATAATTGCCATTTTCATTAACTCTTTTAGTTCCGACTAATGCATGTTGTGTCTTTTATTGAATCCCACCCATCACTTCATAAGCTTTAAAATTGTCTGCATTTGGTCACAGCATGGCAAAACAATTTGGCCTTCCTCCCATGGCCACTTCCTTTGTGTAGTTAGCATTTCTAAGTCATGCACTTGTGGTTTTTCTTTATGATTACAGCTTTTAAAATAAAGAATTGACTTTGTTGCACTGGTTTTTATATTGTGTGGCTTAGTCTCAGCAGAAGAACTAGCCGCCTGCCGAGAGCATTGCACAACGCATGAACTCCATAGCTCCAGCAACGGTCTTAGGGATGTCTGCAAATTATGAGTGGAACTGAATGGCGCGTCCTGGATTCAAACCCGTGACGTTCATAATCAAGCGACATGACCACGTTGCCCACCGTGGAGTCACTCTTGATAATGATTATTTCCATCTTTGGCGCAGCTGCTGCAAAACCTTATGGGTCACACAGTGACTCTGGGACAGTTGAACAGACAGCACAACACTATGTGTCCGTTCACCGATCTGCAGTAATCCTGTGTGTTGGATTCCCAGCAGTGACAAAGTTGCATTGTACCTGTACCGTAAAACTGATACCAAATCTGAGACAGTTAGGATGGTAGATTAATAATTGCCACATAGGACCTTTGATCTGTGAAAATGTAGGCTATATCATATCCAACACGGTGCATCAGGCATGTAGACAGGCTTTTGTGTACACTAATTTTGGTTATCCCATGGATGAAAGTAGTGATTAGATTAAAATTGCTGTGTGGGGCCTCAACCTTTCCTGTTACAATGTACTTGCATTATGTATTGTACAGTTGAGGGCCCTTGGTGTGGCCCTGCGTTGACATGTCTTGTGTATATGGTCAAAGTAAAGGGCCCCCTTCAGGCCAGCGACACACTGGGAGCATGATGCCAGACAGTCAGCACTTAAAGGATGTGGTTGCCCTTCTATACCTTCCAGGGCATTAACTAGGCTGGGTGGAGCTGCAAACTGCAGCCAATTTGAAAACCAGTCTAACCATGTGGATTTGAACACAAGACCATTGGCAGGAGGGCATCTATCCACTATGCTACTGTGGCTCCCTTGGGTAATAATGCTTGCACCGTATTGTTATAGACTAATGACACCTAAAGGGTGATATGGCTAAGATCACACCAGCTGATTTTACTTCCTTGGGCATTTCCTAGTACCTATTTAGACTGGGTTTACCTTATTACATACTTGCAACAGATTGTTTTAAACATGTTATTATTATGTGTTTGCTTTTTTCAAGAGATGAAATTATTTTAATTGACTATGTCTACAGGAGAATAAACAAACATGGGTTTAACAGAAAAGTTTATTTTTGTAGTTTTTGTCAGTGTCAGCAGCTGGTGCTGTTTATGTCATCATCAAGAGCTGGTGCTGTTTAGTATCCGTGTTAAGGTCCCTGATCCATGAATTTTGAGATCATGTGAGAGCTGTTCACCGTGACCATTTCCCAAGATGGCACACAACCTTCCCTTTACTCACATATCTTGTTCAGTTAATCAGGAGCCATCTTCACAGTAAAGACTGCAATAGATCGACATGTACTTCACCCAGGATGAACAATCCTCCTACTTGTATTGCTGTATATTGCTCGTTTACCTTCAACTTTTCTCTCCAGTATTGTTTTAATAAGGGTGTTATCTCTTTTAATGTAGCCATCAGCTACTGTTTTTCACTCCTGGTCTCTTCAGAATCTGTTTTTGAATTTTCTGTTTGCATGAGATTACAACCTGCTCTTCTATGTATCCACATTTCCAGTGACTCAATTCGATTTTCTAGTGGCTTGTTCAGGTTATCTCCACCTTACAGCAGGGTACATCTTGTTAGTAAAATCAGTTTTCTTCTTAGCATTCACAGGCTGTAAATTACAGTGGAAAATTTCTGGCTGTTTGTCCACTTCTGAGTCTTCCATAAATTAAATTTTGCACATCCATTTGATGCCAAATTACTAGAACAGAGAGTTAGACCCATAGCAGAACAACAGTTGAGTGCATCACAATTCGGTTTCACAAAAGGCAGAGGATGCACAGATGCATTATTCACTCTGAGGCAAGTGTGTGATAAAGCCATTGAGTATAATAACAAACAGAATATTGTGTTTATAGATCAGGAAAAAGCTTTTGATAGAATGAAAAGAAACAAACTGTGGTCTGTTCTTGAGAACTACGGGGTACAAGGACAGTTACTAGAGAACATTATAGCCATGTACCACACAAGCTAAAGTGCAGTAAAAACACAAGAAGGCATATCAGATATGTTCACAGTCAACACAGGTGTGAGACAGGGATGTGTGTTCTCCCCACTTTTATTTAACATCTATATAGACAGAATATCTAAAGAAGCAAGTTATGATACAGACAATATAGACCTTTATAATCACGAGGAAGTACATACATCACGAGAAGTAATCGATTCACCCACATTAAACGAACTACTGTTTGCTGACGACCAGTGCTTGTTCTACCCTGAAGAACATAGACTGCAAGACCGCATTAACAGGTTAAACTCAGCATGTAGTAAATACAACATGAAGATCAATGTAAACAAAACCGAAACAATGCAAGTTAGTAGACATTCTGCCCCACTACACATACAGCTGAATGGTTCTGCCCTGAATCAAGTTAGGGAGTTTAAATATCTAGGGAGTATGATCACATAAGATGGTAGAATTGACAGAGAAATGGAAACCAAATGTCAGAAAGCAAATGCACTTATATACCAATTGTCACCATTATTAAGACATCCAAGCATAACTATGAGTGCAAAGAGACAGATTATTAATAGTATATTTATTCCAACATTAAGCTACCAGTGCCAAACATGGACACTATCTAAAGCCCATATACGCAAAATTACCACCTGCGAGATGAGGTGCCTGAGAAGAGCAGCCAACCTAACCATCCGAGATCGAGTGAATAATGAAACTATCAGACAAATTGTGGGAACGACACCTTGTACTAGATTCATCGAGAAACAGCAGATCAAGTGGTTTGGCCATCTCGTTAGAATGCAGCAAGATCAAATACCATCACAAGCACTACATCTCAGAAGATTAACTACAAGAGCAAGAGGACGGCTGCGGAAAAATATGGATCGACAACATTAAAGACACTCTACGCCTTCACGGCATGACAATAGCCAGTGGCAGCCAACGTGCACTGGATCGCAAATTATTCCTCCCCACGACGCTTAACGGCAGAAGTGGTTCATGATGATGATGATCCATTTGATAGATCTGGCTTGTCTGTATGCAGACTTATTTCCTCATCTCTCAGGCAGAGCACTATTGACTTCAGTGGAAACATCCCTAGTTAGTCACCTTTTTTTAAAAACATGCTTGCCAGGAGGGTGGAGTCAGTCTATTCTGTTTTGCCTCACAGTGGGGCCCTGGAATCCACACAGGAAGTTAATACAGGGACCATTTCATGCCAGTGGTACGTCAGGCAAATGATGCTGGATTTTTCTTTATAAACTAGTTAGCACTTTATGGGTGATATAGTCCACATCTTGCCAGCCACTACTTCCCAGGACTATACCGGCTACTATTTTAATCTGGACATTAACTTAGGCTTTATTTAAAAACAAAAGACCAAGAATAAAATGGACTGGTCTGTTTATTTATATGTTGGCCTAAACAAGCAGTTTCTGTAAGCCGAGCATAATTACAAAATGCCCTCCTTCTTCAACAGTGTGTACATCTTCTTGTTGATGATGTTGCCTTGTGAATCTTCATATTCCTCCTGCCATGAAACAAAAGTAAAGACATGTCCAAGTTAGTTTTACATCTTCTTCAAGTCACCGCAAACTAATCCTAGCATATACTGGCTGTTTATATTAAATATAGACTGCATACTGGACACAACTAACTACAGCCATAGGAACAAAAAGTTCAAGATTGGGGATTCAGAACTCTGCCCATGTGGACAGACACTAAACGTGCTACTGACATGCTCTTTACATGCAGTAGAGAGATCCCAGGTTTGGCTGGTGGTTGGCATTCCAATGGAAACCAAGCTGTATGGAACAGTAGAAGGTGGGTATCTCATCACAGACTTCCTAGAGGCCTGTGACCTTCTTATCTGAAAACCAACGGCAGAGAGAACAAAAGGGAAGATTGGCTGTTTGTACATAGTTAAGTCTGCCACTGCTGTTTGTAAGGTACGGTGCCCAAGCAAGAACCCCTTTCCACGTTTTTACAACTTCAGACTAAAAGTACGAAGGTAATTTTGTTGGTCATGTGAAACAGCAAAACACAATCACCTACACACAGCACAGGCTGATGAAGAGAGGGCAAGCAACTCACATACTGATTGACAGTGACACAATGAGCATGCTTAAGAAGATCCAAACTGGTAAACTTTGACATCCAGAAGTCCCACCGTAAGAAATTTTTTTGACTGTACATGCCGGGCTATGCCAGGGTGAACTGAAATGAAAGAGCTGGCAGTGTCTAGGGTGGTTAGTGGAGAAAGAAACATAGGACACGGCAGACATACTGAATGTGCTGCATCCAGAAGTCACAGAAAAAGGAGCCAGAGACGATGAACCACTTGTTGGTAATGGGTATCAAACGAGGACAAGCATGCAAAAAATAGTTTCAGGTCAAATAAAGAAGATAAGCCAGTCAACTCCTGCTGGGTACGACAAGCACATCCACACTAAGATGGCTGCTGCATTGGAGAGCAGATCATGAATGAGTCAGACTAATGTGCCTAGGATAACTAATTGGATAAGCAAAAAGTCACTTGGTAGTATGTCAGGAAGAAAATTCCTGACACCAACCTCACAATAAATGAAAGCTTTTATCAGGGCTTTAATGTCAAGTGAATATTAGGGACCCTTCTACACACGTCAGGGCTACATCAGGTATATAGTGCTTTATCCACATGTTTACAGAGGAATCATCACTAGGTGGATAGTGTGGTTAACAAGAAGCCGGCTACATATATTTCTCAGGGAAGTAGTGTCAACCAACCTGGATGCCCAGGCCAGTTTAATAGATCCTTGATGCAGATTTGAACCTAAGACCTTTGGGCAAGAGATAAGCGCCTGACCACCACTCCTCTGGGCTCAGAATGTTGAATTAAGAATTGACATCACAGCACTCAGAGTGCTCCCTTGAGTGTTGACAAAATTCCCCTGGTAACTCCTCGCAGCGCCATCTCCTCAGACCGTAATGATCTTTATTTGCCTCCCCACTGTTCACAAACTTCCAACGGGGCCTCACAACATCTAGCTAAGTTCACCAAAAAGTAGTGTAGAGCCAACCAGTCTATCTGCATGTCTCCACCTTTCTTAACATGCTCTGTCAGTCAGTTACAATGATAGCATGTCTGTACAGCTGATTCTCAAACCAGTGTAAGGCAGCAGTGACTGCCTCCACCTCCATTCTCAAACTAGATGCTGTAATATCATATGCCAGGCTTTTTTGCACTAAATGACGTTCATTCACTTTTGCTAAGAACCCCCATGCACATCTGTCCCTCAACACAGAGCCATCTGTATAGATAATCACATCACCTGGGCAGGAATTGTCATGAATCATTTGTTATATGGGCTCGGATAAAGTCCTCAGTGACTCAATTTCCAGAGAAAGCAACAATCGACTTCCTAATAAACCATGCAAATATAGTTTTCTCAAGGTATGAGATGAAATAATCAAGGCAAGAAAACAAACAAGTCATCAGATAAAACAAACAAGACAAGAGATGAAAGAATCAAGTTAAAAGATGAAATAAGTTGACAGATGAAACAAGGCAAGAGATGAAGTCATCAGATGAAACAATCAAGGCAAGAGATGAAATATTAAGGTGAGCGATAAAACAACAATCAAAAGATGAAACAAGACAAGACAACTGACCTCTGTGTCTGCCTTCCATCTCTCAGCCTCTTTTCCTGACTTGATTCTTGTCCACACTGAAATGTTCACAAATAAAACCATCATTAGTGATCTAGGAAAGTTCTTTGTGTAAAACTGTTTTGTCACCTTTCTGCCCTTATAGATCTTAAGTGTGTGTGCTAAAGGAAAAGCAAGGGAATCTCGGCCCATGGCAAGGCTTCCTCTTCTTACCATTTGTAAGTTTTATGTTTGGGCTAGCAGAATGTTTTTTTTATTTTCTTGATACCCTAGTAAGGAAAAATTTTTTATTTAACCTACCTGCTTTAAAAAAGGGAAAAGGGGTGTTGCCCATTGAAAATTGAAAAAAAGCTTATTTTTGTTTTTCTTCTCCCCACTTCCCACAAACAAAAACCAGTTTCACCCCCACAAACTTTGCTTTTGGTACAAGTGAAGTAAAAGTACAGGTAGCGGGGAGGGCCCTGGGTGTGGGTGCTGCCCCCAAGGAAAAAAAAAACACGATCACCCAAAATTTTTTCCACTTACAAGAAATTATTTTACACTTTCATGCAAGAGCATCCTCAAAAATGGACGGGCAAATGTGCCGTGTTGGGGGAAACCCGACACTCTTCCGGGCGGCGGTCCTGTCATTTACATGGAAAAAAAAAAAGAATCTTATTGAAATGGTCACTTTTTATAAGAGAAAAAGTAGATGTTTATTGCCGTATATTTTCCATTTTTTTGCACTCCAGAACAATGGGTGGACTTTAAGGGGTTTCACGCTGCATCACCGTTACAAATTTGGGGAATTTGTTTGCCCCGGACCACAAAAACTCCCCCGTTTGCGGGGACGACCCAGGGTTTCCCCTGACGGCCAAGTGTTTTTAAAAACTCGGGTTTTATAGGGTGCTGTAACATTTCCAGGGGAATGATGAGAGCACTATTCTGCAAAGGATTGCTATATGATAACCAGGTCCCAAAACCTTTTTGAATTAGGGGTATTTTATAAACAAAATGCACGCACCCCCTACATTAAAAACAGAAAAAGGTCAGAAAACAATTGAAAAAAAAAAAAGATTTTTTTGTTAGGGCCAAAACGGGATTTTTTTTCCTCCTTTTAAAACTGCGCCTCCTGTCCGGGTTCTTTTAAGAAAACCTTTGGACCCTATCGGGGTTTTACCTAGATTTTGAACCCCCATGATAAACTGTTTTTTTCTGAAAGTTTTTTAAAAAACATG